CCCTGTAGCTCATGCACGGTTGGGTACTGTTCCACCCCATGAGCTAAATTCCCTGGCAAAAATCCAGTAACGAATGAAGGTGCGGGGTGAGGGGAAGAAGACAGGACAGGGCAAGTCAAATATAGTTGAGTTGAGGTAACTGTAGCTAAGCCAGAAAGTGGATTCTTGAGATTCATTCACAGTGGCTAAGGAGGTGACTGTGGTAATGGACCCAGAAACTGAGTTAGTGAATTAGCTGTCTTCTCACCTATCCTTCCGTTCTGTGCCAAGGTAATTTTCAGCTTGATGATGAAGCTAATTGTTGAAGGGTGGCACAGAGTTGGTAGGACTTTCATCAGGCAATGCTCAAAGATTCTCTGTAATGAGGTGTTGAGAGTGTGGTACAGAGAGATGGAACAGGCACTGCTTTCACTTTGTGCTTCTTGCCACAGAAATCAGAGTTCTAGTTGTAGTTTTGAATACATGAACTGCTTGTTTAGAAATTATCCAGATGCTTGCACTTTCAGCTTCTTTTGTTATGCAACAGGATAGAAGGAAAGAGCCAGCCTGTTCAGTCAGCCCTAGATTACCAGGGAGTGCTTTGCAGGCTGCCTTTTGAAGAATGAGCTAAGTGCTACTGTGTTGCTACTGTAAGTTTACTTATTTTTAGAGCTGAGAAAAGTGTGGTGGTGGGCAGTATTTCATAGCAATCAAAGCAACGGTTATTACAAAAAGTAACAAGCAAGCAAAATGCAAACCAGAAACCCTTGTTGGAAGCCTCTATCAATAGACCATACCAAGCCCGGCCTAAGCCTGAAGCAAAACCAAATTAGAACATGCATTTTTTCTTGATGTCCTACAAGCATATCCTTAAACTTTCCCAGGAGGCTTGTGAAAGCTGTTTTGTTATGAATAACTAGACAACGTCTAGATTTTGGGTGCTGGTTTTAGCCCATGAGGCAAGTACAAGCCTACCATTAACCACCACCTGAAGTCATGTTGTCTGTAACTTGCCCACTGGGTTCCCATCCCAGTGTTCCTTGGAGAAAACATAAGTGCAGATACTCCATCCAAGGGGCTACAGAGATTTAATTTTTAAAAGTCATCACTGCTTCAACAAGCAGTATCTGGAGGCTGGGAATGCATAACAGCTTGCAAAACTCATTTTTGGCTAAGAAGCCCTGCTGTGGGTTAGTTATTAATCTTGCTCACATCTATCCATTGTGCCAGAAAACCCAGTGCTGTGTTGTTAGCTTCAGACAAAAGATGCTTCACTCCTGACCAGCTTCTGGTAGTTGGAGTAAGAGAGACCACCTTGTTCTCCATGAGCCGGTTGCCTTGTCTCCAAATGAGGGGGGCTGTGTAAGTATGAAGAAAGAGAAGCAGCATTTAAGCTGTCTAGTCTTACTGTTTGTGAGATAGCAGAGAAAGGAAGGAGTTATGAAAAGATGCTTTGTTGCTTAGGGTTTTGAGGGGTTTGGGTGTGTTGGTTTTTAAATCATCTTGGTGTGTTTCAGCAAAGGTTATCTCAGAATCCTTGCTGCCAGTGGGACCATTTACTGCTTTGAATTGTATTTGAGCCATATTTCCCAAGCCAGTGGACAAAATGCAGTAATTTGGTTGTCAGTTGATGTAATCGTTCTTAATGTGATATTCATTGTCTATGTGTTCTTTAGGTACAGAAGGTAGAAAAGCAAATTCCCCAGCTGAGAAAAGGAAATACTCTTTTAGACTCAAACATCTGTCAGATCAGAAGATCGTTTCCTATCCAATTATGTAGACATGTTGAAGGGAATATTTTTTTATCAAACATCCTCAGTGACAAGGAGGAACTTGAGTCAAGGTGATAACAGCAAAACTATTATGACATTGCAGGTTCCTGAGCAAAGGTCCTTTAGGGCATGAGTCCTGGTGAAGCTTATGACTGACTGAATATGATACACTTCAGGTTTAAAAAACATGACAGTAATGATAGTATGGGAGAGGAAGTGAATTTAGCCAGAAAAGAGATTACAGATATGCAAAAAGAATATGTTTGAAAGGGCACTTCCTTTTCAAAGCAGTCTGTGCAACCAGTACTTATCAACATGAGAAGCATTTGATCCTCCTCACTGGTCATAACACAGTATATTCCATAAGCTTCACTGACATACATGCAGAGCATCTCTTTCTTCTAAAATGGTATAGAACTTTGAAGCATTTACCATGATTTTAAATTAATCACTTCACACCCATAAAAGCCTAAATCAGGATGATATATGGTGAGGTAAATAAAACTGGGAACCAAAGCTGCTATGTAATTATCACATGGGAGGTGTGTTTATGTCTGCCTGGGTGGTTGTTCCTGTGTGGCAATGTAGGATAGTAATCCTTCCTCTTTGCCTTTCATTAATTAGTAATGAACTAAAGAAATCCACCAGAACATTCTTTACAACTCTGAATTAGAGACCAGTGCTCTGTAAAGAAAAAGTGTTGGCAGTAAAAAGCCTGTTGATAAAAAAAAAAAGAAAAAATGTATCAGAATTAAATAGTATTTCTCTTCAGGAATTGGTGATATGTTTTAAAATAGAGGCACTCATGCTGTGGAGATTTTATACATGCAGAAAAAAAAGTCCTCATTCTTTTAATAACCTGCTCATTTTTAATATGGACTGTATTTAGAGAAGAGATAAAATCCCATATTCCTTGAAATCTATAAATCTTTCTCATCATTTATTTCAGATAGTAGGTGGTACAAAGCTCATACGTGATCTGTGTTACATGTCAAAGTTATCTGAAGGAGGATGCAGTTCATGTTTAAATTTCTACAGTTAGAAGAAATTTGTGAATGTAATTTCCACTGTGATTGAAAAAAAGGAGGAGAAAATACATCCAAAGTTATAACAAACAGTGTTTGTCCAAAAAGTTGAATAACATTGGTTTTATTTGATGTTTACCATAATGCTGTTTGAAAAATTGAGTCCACTGATTTTTTTCGTGTGCATTATGGAATCTTGTCTAGAGAATGGATACTCTGAAGAGCTGATACAATCTGTTGTTCCAGCTGTACTTTTCAGTTCGAAGACACCTGCTATTTTACTAGTAATAAAGGTGAGCGAGCAAGCAGTCAAGAAGGTTTGACTCCCTGCAGCTGCTAATCTGTCATCTGTCACAAACCCAAAACTGATCAGCAGACCCTGATTAAAATCTCTGTGGGTCTTCTTGAAGGGATGGTATATTCTATATCCTTTTTGTGGCAATTTTTTACAGTTCTTGGCCATGCCAGTTGAAAGACTGGAGATATGAGGAAGGAAGGAAAGGGAGGTCAGCATTTTGACCGGCCTGTGTGACTTATAGACTGAAAGTTTCAGAAGTATTTTAAAAAACAGCTATGTAAAGATATATATAAACACCTAATTGCATTTTTAGCCATCCAAATGATCCTCAAAATCTTGCTCTGAATTGCATTTACTTCCAGTAAATTTTATACCTCTTTTCTAATTCTGTAATGTTCTATTACACTCACATTAAAGCTTTAGCTTTTCTGATATGATTCCTCATCTTCCTGACTGTTGCTAAATTAAGCTTAACTCAACAAATGCCTTGGGAGGGAAAGATTGCAAAGTGGTGGCACCAGGGCAATCTCTGATAAGCAAAGCGTAGGGCGGGCTTGCATGCAAATGCAAGCAGGGCTGTGAGGTAAATAAGGGTGTAAGCGAATTAGTGGTGGTGGAGAAAAGGAAGAGCAGGTGGGTAGACTGCAAAGATAACAAAAAACAGTGGAAAGGGACAGAAGACGAAGATCAACGTGTCACTGTACTGTACTTTTCCTCCCCAAGTATCTTCAAGAGTAATGTGGAAGTGTTGTGTAAACACCTTTTGCTCTGCAACAGCATCATCCTTGTGACTCCTCCCTTCTCTTACCTGCATTTTACCACAGCCTCCCTCCAGTTACTGGAAATGCTGGTTACAAGCAGAATGCTAGTAATACTAGTAGGTATACTTGTACAAATCTACTCTCAGGGTGTGTTTGGCCCTTTCAGTTCCTTTGGCCATTTAGGGAGGTAGGATGTATGCTGTTTTTAGCTGCCAAGTGCAGTATGACTGGCCTGATGAAAAACCTGGTGAAATCAACAGGAATAATTTTATGTGCTCTGGATGAACTCTGAACTCAGGTTTGTTTAAAATCAAGACATATCTTTGTTCAATCTATAATAGACTAAAAAGAAGTACTCAGGACAGAACAAATGAGAATGTTAATATTGACTCTTCTGCTATTGCTCGAGCCAAACTGTGACACTATGCATTGCCTTTGCCTCAAGCGTGATTTCCAAAAACTGGCTGTTAGTTTAATAAAGCAGACGCTTTCTAGTGACTGGAGAACCGAGGTGGGAAGTTTGTGTGACATCACAAGGCAAATTCACCAGACCATGTCCATGAAGAGCATGGCAGGGTCTGCAAGTATTTCTACAACATTTATTGGCTCTACAGAGTATCCTGTGAACGTGGCTTCCAAATCTGCACTTCCTTTTGTGGGCAGGTTGGGTGGCCCCAGACCACACCTTTGCATACTTCTGGCTCTGTGGTTACCCCATGCGGTGGCAGATAGAATATCTCTGCACTTACTGCGCACATGGCATCTCTGGTTCATCATCTTGGGATCTGTCACCAGTACTCGGCTCATTTAGGGGTGAAAGTGCTCTTTGGATTTCAAATACTACGTGGCTTGTGTTTCCATAATGCTTTTGTAGTGTATCGCTAACAAAAACTTCCACATAAGGCTTAAGATAGCACATGCAAAGATATTTTACACATTTTTCTACATCTCTATTTACAACCAAGCATTAAGTTTGTTTATAGGGACACACTGCAGATAGAAAGGAAAAGCTTTAACACCAGTGATTTGAATCCCAGAGGAGCCCTTTGTGTGTAAGCATGCCTACTGAACCCATTCAGTGACAATAAGCTATCATGTGCCTGTATGAAAGTGATATTACAGGTTATTTCTGACAGTATTCTTTTTTTCTTCCTTTTTTTTAGAGGATTTACTGTGTGAAACCATTGTCCCACAAATTTTTCTGGAGATGAAGTCTTCTGAGAGGAGCACTAGGAAAGGTCTGTCATTCTTGAATGATTGCTGGCTCAGATTTTCATCTTAAACTTTAATCCATCACATAGTACAGAGCAATCTGCGATTCACGGGATACAAATAGGTAAAAGTATAGAGATAATGACAGCAGGACAGTTACGTAGATATCACTTTTTAAACAGACAGAAATTTATTGTAAAATAGTCTTAAACCTAATTATTCACAAGCTTTTGAAAATCAGTTGGTTTTGTTGATTTCGTACTAACCAGATTTTAAATCAGTGTTTCAGACCAAATTCTAGATAGGTATATACATATATATGTACATAGTGTTATCATGTATCAATAACACTCTATTTCTTTTTTTTTTAATAGTTATTAGGAGTTTTTACATAAACCAAGTTTACCCTTCATATAAGGATACAGAATTTTGTTGATTCAGCTTCTGTTCTTCTGGACAAATATATGCATTTGATAACATAATTGTGTGAAATGGTATAATTGGATTATCTTTTAATATGTTTATCTAGTTATATTACTTGTATATGTGTTAAAACGTATTGGAGTGGGTGCTATAAGCTGTGGGGTTCTGGAGAAAGGTGCTGCCGTTTTTTAAAAAAAGCATCTGTACTTGGTTGCAAGAAAGAGTGCATCATGATTAAAAAATAAATTCTTGATTAGGCTGTTTGGATAGTTAATATCAATACTGAATTTGATCCTTAAAGGGGAGTTTTTGAGGTAGAACATCTCTGGAATGGGAAGGAGGTAACAAGGAGACATCGGTAGACTAGGAAAAAAAAAATTTTGAAAGCATAGGAAAACTTCAGCTAGCCTGGAAAAATACAGTTTTGTGTATTAAAAAAATGAAATATTCAGGAATGCAATGTTTACTGTCTACAGTAAAGTTGAAGCTTACAAATAAAAATGAAGTATACTCCAATCTAGAGAGAGTAATTTGATCCTAAAACCAGTGAGCTTCATTATTTTTCACCAGTGAAGTAGTTTAAGGCAGGCCTAGCATATACTTTTAAAGTTACAAACAACTGTTAAACTTGCTACTACATTAATGACTGTGGTTAGAATGAAAGAAATACTTCAGCTTTTTATATCCAAGTGTTTCTTTGCCAGATTTAATTCTCACATGGTAAAACAGAATAATATAGTTAACTGAGTATGGTAGGATTGTTACCCACCCAGGAAATACGTGGATTTGAGGGAGGGAGTGTTACTATGGGAAAAGCTGGCAAAGAAATATAGGGAAATATATGGAATATAGACATAGTACCAGGGAGAACAGCACTTATTTTAGTGAGTTTAGAAAATAAGTAACGTTGTTTTAGAGCCTACAGAAGGAATATGGATATCTTCCATCCTTTCAAAGGCAGAGAACACAAAAATCTAGTGTCTTAAGGCTGCTTCAGCTTCTCAAGTAGTAGATGAGTATCTCCATGAGTACTATGCAATAAAGCTTACTTCCAAAAAAAGTATGTATAACCTTTACATGTGCTTAAAGAACTCTCAAAGCATTTTCCTCACTTTACTCCCTCTTGTCTCATCCTTTCCTCTTGCACACACATGCATATCTACAGCTGAATATATGGTGTAAGCTTTAAATGCAGCAGGCCCTTGTGAGAAGCTATAGGACTTTATTTTGTTCCACAGCTCAGAATTGAAATACTCAAGCTGTGACTTGGAAAGCTGTTAGCAGATATACTTATTGTCATAGCATTGGTACACATAATTATGAACTATTCTTGACTATAGAAAACTTACTATTGCCATAATAATCTTTGTGCTGTGAGACTGGGGTTAGAGGAAGAAAAGCACTTTTCAAATAATAGTTCCCATATATATTATTTCCTCCTTAGTTGTTATGGTTGATTTTCCTTCTGTTTCTGTTTTATTCTCTATCAGTCATGCATTAAATATGTGGAAAACTTCTCCTTAACAACTCTTTGATTTCTCCTGGAGAACAGATGAAAAATTTGTACATGTTGAAAAAGAAGCCAGTGGGGGAAGTAACATGTGGCACTCAGCTTTCTAATAACCTATCGGACAATAGGGATAGAGCATTTTTTGAACTCCAAGGGGAGGAGATTCTTTTATAGTGCTTTGGACATCATAGATGACTTATCCATAGGGAACTGGCAAGGCAGTCCTCAATTGCCACTATAGGGATTAGGATGCATAGATGTGAAGGGTGGTAGTCAAGTATTTGTAGGTTTGTAGCTGTTTATTTTGCCAGTTGTCAAAACTTGTGACTCAAAGGTTAGAGAAATGAATCACAGAAACAACCAGAATTTTTTTCTTTTTTTCCCCTTGGGCCATGTGAATTCCTAGTTTGAGGTCGGGAGACTAGAAATAGATTATAAAGCATATTGCGGGAATTTAGCACAATTTTACAGGCTTGTCTATATTTATGGCTGAGAAACTTGAACTGATCCATAGAACTGACACTAATACATCATGCAAAACAACTTCTGGGATTGGATTTATACTTCCTCTTAATTCTTGAGCTTTAAAGTTATCATGATTAAGACATAGTAAAACAATTGTTGTATATAAAATGTAGGTTTCACTATGTGATAAACATGCACCTCAGGACGTCTAAACAGATCCTAAGAATAAGATGTTACTCACAAAAGCACAACACAATCATAAAGCAGATAAGGTGAATAATTAAAGAAAGTATATGGCTTCTGAAGCTTTGAAAGATAGAAGTGCTTGGGTCTACTTCTGAGCATTTCTTCTCCATAGATGCAAACTCCAATATAAAGTGGCCAGCATAGCAGACCAAATAAATTACTCATTAAATTTGTTCAATAAGCAGTTTCTAAATGTCAGTTCCTTGTGTAACTTGATGAACTTGCACAGGCAGGAGTCTGTTGAACTCTGCAGTAATTAAATGTGTCATACTAGGCTTGATTCTCAAGTTTTGTGTTTTCCAGTTTCCTAACTTAAAATGACCTGATGCAGACTACTATATTCCTCGTTTCTTGCTGGGTTTCATACAGCTCTTACAGATTTGTTCTGTTATAGGAGAAAAATTTTTACTAGCATTTAAGAACACTTTTCACTTCAGACTCTGTCAGGTATCAAGTAGAAAGGGCCACTAGGTGCTCTTTGTTTTTGTGATTATTATGAATTAATACTGTTAATGGGAATTTCAGATGTGATAGAAAAAAATAATGGCTCAATGGTTACATTAGAAATATTATAGTAGTGGCATTAAAAATGTATCTGAACCAGGACCATTGATTCCTATGGAAAAAGTTGTGAAATAGATAACCTGGATGATGTTTAAATAAAATTTTTGCAGATTTCTTGCATAAAAGAACAGGTGCAGCCATGCTGTACCAAAACTGATAGTAATTTCTGGGAGTATCTGATCATCTCCACTCAGTTGTTTTTTTTTTTTGCTTTCCCCTTCAGGACACACTGAGGGGGCAAAACTGTCTTTCTACTGTTATTGCGTGTTATACCTTTTTACTTGCATGGGGTAGTTTTGAGCTTTACTCAAGGTCCAGGGTTATTTGCAACGTAAAGTTGAATAAGATTGATAAATTAATATGGCTCATTATATTCCATTAAAATGAATTTACAACATAGAAGAGGAATTCAAAAAGTTTGCCCTTCGTATGGCAACCATACATAATAACAATCAGAATACAGCTGGAGAGAGCACTACATGACCAGACTAATCTCATTTGTCTGGAGAAAACAGTCACATTATTATCACTTAAGAAGTTTGACATTGTCCTACATTACTGTTTTGCAATTCTGTAAAAATAACAATGTTGTGATGGCACTTTTTCCTCAGAAATTACGCAGATATAAGATTGCATTTTACCACAGGCTGACTGCTAACAGTGACTAGAGCACCGAATCATTATCCAGCTCAGTTCTTTAGTTGTCAAGTTGTTGTAAAAGATGTTAGAAATTCAGCTGAGATATATGCTATAGGTGGACTGTATTTCTCTAAATGTAATTATTAAAGTTTCATATAAATTACATCTGGACGCTACTACTTTTCATTCATCTGCACTCATTCTTATTTGATATCCAGAGAAATTTGTTTCCCAATTGCCTGTTTTTGAGTGCTATCTCAATAACTATAATCTCTGTGACAAAGAATCCATATTCCCAAATACTCTACAACACCTGTGAGATAACTTTGGAAGTAAAAATACAAGGTTTTCCTAAACAGTCTTGAAAATTTATTTGAGAAAAAAAAAATGAGGTATTTCTTCACTTTAAGAGATTAGGAAATTCCTCAGTTTACTAACAGATTGTCTCCTTTTACATACTTGGGTCAGTTGTGCCTCCCACAGAGTGTGAAGGAAGGATTTTTTTTTTTTTTTGTGAGGCAGTGGAATGACAAGAGGTTTCTTCATGGTGAATTAATCTATAAAGGCATTCAGAAGGGGACAGAAGAGCAACACCCAGCTGACAAACAGAGAATTCTCAAGCTGAAGAACCTGACAGCTGTCAGAGTTGATGGCTGTGAGAGTTGTTTGTGATGTGAATGACACAGGTGAGGTTTTACCCCACAAATTATTGCAGCAACTTCCCTCAGTTGTATCTTTTCTATCAGTTGACTATAAACTTTTATGAATATGTTCCTAACAAAATATCGATGGAGAAACATCATATCTGGCTTATGCCTTCAGCCTATATTTTTGCATATGTATGACATAATTAGTTTTTGCAAATGTTAAATAGTATTCTCTACAGTTCTGTTCAGCTGTAGGCAGGTGGCAGAATGGCCCCAGGAAGGGCGTCAAAATCAAGCAAAAATAAGAAAATATGTTACTGTTTTCAGCACCACTAAGACTACTTACATTTATTGATACACTAATATGTAGTTTTGAATGGACAATAAACAACACTCGCTCCTTGCAACTTCTGAAAATGCACTAAAAACTGTACGGCTGTTACTGAGGGAGAGAGTACAGCCATAGAGATTTTATAGCTGCTTTTCTGTTACTAGTTGCAGTAGTTTGGCAATAAGCAACAATGACAAGTCAGTTCTCTGCAAGATATACTGTAAACTGTCAAGTATCAAAATAACTGAATCCTATTTTTATTCCATTATTACAACAACAGTATGTTTAATTAACTCCTTGAAATGTGAAATTTTGGGCTATTAGCCTTCTCCAGAATCCTCTTTGTTGGTCCTTCTTTGCTGTTCTTCTGACCTCTCATTGCAAGGGCTGTCACAAGGATTGTTCTGAATATTAACCATTACTTGAATAAAAGTGGAAGACAAAACTATGGACTTTATTACCAAGGAAACTTCATCTCTTCAGCAAAGCAGCCTGAAATATTTGGATTGAAGGAAAGACTTTTGCATCAGCTCTGTCAAATTTGACTATTAGCAAATGAGCCATTGCCAATCCTATATTTTAGTTCACAGGTTTCTCATTAAGAGGTCACCTTTTCCTCTCTCTGACTGTCAGTGAAATATTACCCTGAGAAGATGTGCATGTTAAGAGGTATGCAGTGGTGTATGTCTAATGGTATTTATGCTGTGTCCCTAATTGGCTGAGTATGTCTCAAATGATTAGAGAGGTCAGCTCAACTGAAACCCCATTATCCCTCTTTTTGAGAGTGACAAGCATCTTGAATCAGTGAATTTGTTTTAGACCATTAGTTCAGGTGTTACAACACTACTGGCATTTCATGGGGTAATAACTGAGGGAAAACAATCACTCCAAAATACAGTGTTGCCTAGAATTAACATAACAGTGGATTTGCTAAACTGCTGGTCTCAGGAGGTCATTCTGAGCCATGCCATCTTTTCCAAGTAGCCTTTCCAAAATTTTTTATGTTGTAACAAGTCAGAGGACAAAATCTAAACAGAGATTTGCCATGGGCAACCAATGTATGGAGCCCGAAGCGAGGTGCCCATCTGGGGAACCAAGAGGAAGGATGTGGCCTGTGACAGCCGCAGAAACTGGTTATGGTCCTCCTGTTCAGCCCTGCTGACATTGTCATGGAGATCTGCCTTGTGCCACTATTTTTAACCCAGAAGATGTGTCCAAGTTTGCCACTTTGGGAAAACACAGTGTGGCGCCAGCCCTGGACAACAGGCGTAAATAAGAGCTGACTAAGAGAATGGTCCAGAAGGCAGAATGCCAAAGATACCTGTCAGGACAAAGTTTATAGGTAGAGATAATAAGTCCATTTAATTCAACTGGGAAAAAAAAAAAAGGGGGGAAGGGGGGTGTGGGGGAGGTGGAGGGGGAATTAAGCAACTTCAGGCATGTTTGTATACAATCACTTGTATGTCTGGAAAATTAACTAATTCTTCCAGCTACCAATAAATACTGCCAGTATCTTTAAAACCTGTGAACAGCAAAATACTGCTAAAAATACCTTGTGCTTGCTCAGAAATACTGCTGTCTTTCTCTCCAAATGAAGCTTTAAGTGCCAAAGAATATGACTTATTTGGCTGTAAGTGATCATCACCTAGAGCCCTCAGTTAGAAAACATTGTGGATTCATCCAGGCACACAGAGATAATGTCTTGCCTTGATGCAATATCCTTTAATTAAAATTATCCTAAAGTACTTCACAAGTTATATTAATTATATAGTGATGATATAGTGAATATATACAACTGAAAAGTAGGGGAGCGAAATACAAGTTTTCTTAAGGACTGATGTAGTGAGAAAAGAAGTAATAGAAGATATTAACTATAATGGGATCTTGGTAATGTTGCATTGAATGTAGTTCATGTTTAAAGTGAAATCTTTTTTTCCCCTTACTGGCTAGTAAATAACTTCTATGGAAAGCTTGATGAGATGCAAATAGTTGCACATAGCATGGAAAATAGAAAATAACAAATACTGTGGTTTACTGAGGAATACCAACTTTTGGTTAAAGAATTTGCTGGCACTTAATGCCTGAATGCTTTAAGGGTATTTGGCTTGCTTACAGATTTTTATCTCATTAGTTCCTGATGGCCAAGAAATTCCTTTTCAAATTCATTTATTTGCTCTAAATTATGCTCATTTATAACCTGAACTCCGGTGTTGCTTTCCTGACTACCTCTCTGACAAAAGCAGTTTGCAAGTTACAGTCCTATCAGACCTGTTACTCTTGTTCAAGTAATGTGGAAGGCCTGTGATAAAATGCTAAGTAAACCACTCACCATTTCAGTTGTATCTTTCAGTGAAACAGGAGCCCTGGTTTATCTCAGCTTTCAGATAAATTAAAGAAGACAGGCCACCTGTCATGGCAGTAATGAGTTTTACCTAAACCCAAAGCTATCCTCTTAAAAGGAAAGATATTTAAGGCTGTCTTGAAAAGTTAGCTGTTTACTTTCTTCAGAGAGAATATTGAAACTAAGAATTTGTATGCTCACTTTTCTAACAAGTTGACTAGTGTAATTTATATAGACCACTGAATACACTTCTTAAAAAATCTATATTGCATCCAAACAGTTTTTCTATTAGGGCTTCTTAGACCATGGAGACAATGGGAAGATTAAAAAAAGAGGTTTCAGATTATAACACTTTTCTGATTTCTTGGTTTTCTTTGAATACTTACGGCTGCTGGTGGTCAGATTTTTTCTGCCTGAATTTTCCTTTGCAAAAACCAGTCGTCAGCTTTGAGAAATTAGACACCTGACGTTTTTTGTTGTGTTTTTCATTTCACATACTTAAAAAATTACTGTGTGTTTTTTTATATTCTTTGCTCCAGAAAGGCTGCATGATCACTAAAATGGGCTACAGTTTCATTTTATTTCAAAAAAGAGGAAAAAATTAGTTATTTAAAGCACAAGTACTAAAATTATTTTCTCACCTTTTGAAAGGAAAATTATTTTAAAATAACTTTAATTGCAGTTTACAGAAGTCCTTACAATGAATACTTCAGTCTGCTGCAGAAGAACAAGTAGCTAACTACTACTTTTCCATAGGCTTCTTGGCCTTTCGACCTTACGTGGCCAAAGGTCACTGCCTCATAATGAAAGAAGTCAGAAGAAAGGAGTTGGGAGTTTTGGATTGGAAGCAGTGCTTTTGCCAGATTAATATATTTGTCAAGCTACTAGTATCCTCTTAATACCATGTTCTTGCATGAAAAATGTTATAATAATACTTGTTTTGTGATTACAGGATAAAAACACTTAAATCCTGTGCAACTGTCTTCAAGCATAGAAAAGAACATTGTTGTGGCATACAGAAAGTAAAATGTATTTGTATGCCTCATTTAGAGGGAATCAGGAGACACGGAAAGGAAGATTGCTCTTTTTTCAACCAACAGACACTAGCAGTACTAAAGATAGACCATTGTCTCAAAATTATTTCCCTGAAACTGTGTGGAAAATTCTGTTTCTAGCCCATGAAATATTTGCAATTTCAAAAGCAATTTTTAATCCACATGTGGATGAAATGAGAAAGTTTAAAACATTTGGGAAGGAAAAAAAGGTGGGAAGACTGTGATCATCTTTCAATTTTTGTTTGGCCAGTGGCTGAGGCACTTATTTCCTATATGGAGACTTAACAGTTCAAATTCCTGCTGCACCATTCTCCCACTTCGGAGGACTTTCATCATCCCCAAGAGACTCTTTTCAGTTTTCTCAGGAGGGTTGTTCTAATTTGCTAAGTCTGTAAACTTCTGAGCTTACCAAAGATGTGGGCAGATCCAAATAACAGTGAACCTTTGCAAGGTAGTAGAAGCTTTCTGCATGGGAAGCAGTGGCTGGTGCTTGGGAATTGTGGAAATGTGTATGCACCACACAGGGAACACGTCAGTTGTGATAGAGCAATAGAAATAGTGTGATTTGTGAGGATAAGATCAGATATAAAACCCAGGATTGGAGAAGGATGGAAAAAGGAGATGTTTCTTACTTATTCTTTGAAATTTAGTGAAAGAGATCTGTGTGGTTTGGGTTTTTTTTTTAACCTTTTTTCATTATGATGAAGGCCCAGCGTCTCCATGCAAGCAAAAAGGGTCAGTGGCTTAAAAGAAGATACACTGTAAACAGTAAAAAGTAATAGTGCAACAGTCATGAAGATTTCCTGAAAGAATACAACTGATTGTGCGGTTGATCCCAGGTTAGCAAAGCAAGCTACTCCAGTGACCTTAATCTAGTGTGTCACCCTGACTCTAGATCTGTTGAGACACTTATGCTTCACTTAAAAATATGTACATTCCAAGGAAGAATACCTGGAGCTCGGTGAAGATATCCAGGTGGCTGTGGTGTTGAAATGTACCCTTCTGTAAACCTAAACCTGCACAGTTATGTGGCAGGAAGGCCAGCAAAAGGCCCCCAAAGTTTGCCTGTCACCATGGTGACTGGTGCTGATCTAATTTCCAATTACAGCAGCATAATTTGGTGAAAGCCAGCGAGGCCATACCGCTGCAAACCTTAGACAATATGTTAACAAGTTTGGAAGATCTCCTTCCTAATTAAAGAGTATCTTGTCTTACTGCTAAATAGGACATTTGTATATCTCTTACAGTAATCCTAATCACATAAAAGTGATCGAAATTTCCTCAGCTTGATGACGTGGTGGTTCCTACATACAGAGCGAGCTGAAAAAAATGTGCTTTGACACTGCAAGGCTAATTTCTCATTCTTTGTGAAAGTTCAGTGTACTTGAGATTTTGCAGGTAGAATATGGCAAGATTTTTAAGATAAAATGCCTACTTGCTCCTCCTTTTCTTTCTTTTTAAAATTTGTTTGGTTTTGCTTGGAAATAATATTTGCCTGCATCTAGAAACGTGTTTCACCATGGCCAAATAATTTACTAATTCTCTGTTAAAGAATATTTGCGTAAAGAAGTACCTTGAGCCAGTTACTTCTATAAACAGGTGTTCAGGGTCCAAGTCTAAATCACTCAGCCTGTGTAACAAATTCTCACACCTGATGGCTGCTTGATGCTGTTGCAGTGCTGCTTAGAATTGTTTTAAACCATCTAGTTCATAATGCAAAAGCTTATACTAAATAATTTACAAACGTCAGCCAAAATTATTTCAGTGAAACAGTATCATATTTACACTTACACACTAACAAAGCAGCTTTTAAAATAGTTGATTTTGATCCAGTATAAGAATTCTATCCTCATCACTCTAATGTGGACACGTGCAGTGTGTAGTAGTCTTTTGCTTCTTACAAACAGATCTGAAGAAAACAGTCTAAGCTGGACATAATTAAGGATAATAGAGTGGGAGAAGAAATCAACAAAGGGCAAAAAATAACTATCATGCATATTTAATGAGTTAAAAATTGTTCATCACAAAAAGTCATGAGCATATCCTGAAGGTCCAACAGACTCTTCATCTTATTTTGAGGTAGCACTGCTACAAACTGTAGTTTAGATCTTATGTTATTTTTTATAATGAAATAGAGAAGCATTACCTTGGGGGAAAATGTAAATAAAACTATCAGTTTGTCTATTGATTAGGAGTTTATTATTGCACATTACAAAATGAGTCTGCTGTCTAGTGTCTTAAGATAAAATCTAACAAATAAGTATTATATCTTTTTAAATAGTAATATTTTTTGTGATCATGATATAGAATATACTTATGCAGGCAGAATTTGCTTCTTGGTGCATACTGGCCTTTTTTCAGCCGGAGTACTTAATTTGCAGAGCGTGCTGTAAAGTGCATACTTAAGTTTCAGTAATGGATGAAGCTTGGATGCCTTCCAGTTTAGAAAATTTGTCATGTATAGCTGATACCTATTAATCATTACTGGTCAAAAGTTCATCCTCTGAAAACTAACCTTAAAAAAAAAAAAAGGCTGTGGGCAGGAAAGCTACTGGTATGCTCCCAGAAAGCTACATGAGATGCTAGGCTGAGAGGAAGGAATGGCCATAATCTATAGGTCCAAAGGGTCAGAGGGAAGAGGCATGAAGTATCACTGATGTCAAGCAGAACCTGAAACAATTTAAGATGGGAGACAGGAAATCTGGTCAAACCTGCATTGCCAGGAGAGGGGAAGGGAGTCAGGGGTGAGAAAGAAATTAAATTTTTAGAAGTGAGAGAATAGATGTACGTCTTCCCCAAGGCATCGGGGGACCAGGTAAACAGAAGGAGACTTAGCAGGGAATAACTTCAGATCTTCAACTACCCTTTTGGAACAGCAATTTGGGTAAACCTGAATGAGAACCAGATGCCAAACAAATCCCATGAGGTTATGGTCACTAACAATTACTCACAAGTAACTGTAAATCTGCTGTC